CACCATCACGCACCTTGCCATTTACCCAGGAGTTGAAAACCTACATCGTACACACAAAAACCTGTATGTGGACATATGCAGCAGCTTTATTCATAACTGCCAAAACTTGGAAATAATCAAAATGTCCTCCAGTAGGTGAATGGATAATCTGTGATCTATCTAGACAATGGAATATCACTTAGCATTAAAAATATATGAAGTATCAAGCCATGAAAACACATGAAGGAACTTAAATGCATATTACTAACTCTTAAATTCATATTACTAAGAACCCAATCTAAAAAGTCTGCATACTGTTTGATCCCAAGGACAGAAAAGGCAAAACAATGGCGAGAGTAAAAAGATCAGGGGTTCAGGGAGAGTGAAGTAGGAATGAACAGGGAGAGCACAGAGGGCTTTTGGTGCAGTTAAACTACTCTGTATATGACATGACAGGGGTAGATACGTGTCATTATATATTTTCTAAACCCCTAAAATCTACAATATCAGGAGTGAACTCTAATGTAAACTATGAACTCTGGATGCTAGAGCAGGTTCATGGATTCTAACAAATGCACCACTCTGGTGGGGGATGGTGACAGTGGAAGGACCACACACTGTACTTTACATCAAAGGTGCTATGACCCTAAAACAGTTTAGTAAAAAAAAAAGAGAGAATTAAAACTCAGTAATTGACAGGGGCTGAAACTGGGGGGAGAGTCTGCCTAAAATGGAGCAAGGTGAAGTTTTCTGCAGTGATGAAACCATTCCATGTTACAATTGTGATGGAGCTTAAACGACTGTCTGACTGTACATGTAAAAGAATGGTACAAGAATAAGGTAGTGAACTTACTGTACTCTGTCTTTAAAAGTGATTCTGAGACAAATATGTAAATATTCAAATTCAGAGAATAAATCTCTCTGACAGAAAAAGTGAAGAAAAGAATCAGAACACTAAAGCTATAATCCAAGGAAACTTCCCTGAAATTAAAAGAGAAAAAACTCAAAACTACACATTGAAAGAGCATATTATACCTAAGAATATCAAAGTAGAACAACCAATACCAAAATATATTCAAGAAAAAATTACTGACTTTAAGGGGAAAAAATTCTTCGGGCATCTAACCAAAAAAGAGAAAATAATAATGAACTATAAAGAAAGCTGAGCGCTGAAGANGTTTGAAACCCAAGTAGACTAGTTAGTAATATACTTTCTTTCTGTCATTGTTTGGCTCTGTCGGGTCTTGGCTGCAGAGTACAGCATTGCTCCCTGTGGCGTGGGGGCTCCTCCAGCTGCGGCACGCGGGCTCAGAAGCTGTGGCGCAGGGCCTCAGCCGCCCTGCAGCATGTGAGATCTTAGTTCCTGGACCAAGGATCAAACCTGAATTCCCGGAATTGGAAGTCGGATTCTTAAACCATTGGATACTTTAAAAATGCAACTTTAAAAATCTGACTGGTCACCGTCAAAGGACAACAGTTTATCCTGAAAACTCATAAATAAAAGGAAAGAAGCATTCTTTTCTACCTTTCCTACACAAATTTATACCTTGAGCAATCAATTAGTAAATGAGGGAATAAATCAACTGTGTGCACATAGGTCACTTCAGTCGTGTCCAACTCTTTGCAAGCTTATGGGCTGCAGCTCACCAAGCTCCTCTGTCTATGGGATTCTCCAGCCAAGAATACTGGAGTGGGTTGCCATGCCCTCCTCCAGGGGATCTTCCCAACCCAAGATCAAGCATTTCTTATGTCTCCTGGATTGGCAGGAGAGTTCTTTACCACTAGCACCACCTGGGAAGTCCAAGATAAAATTAAATGTAATTTTTAAAAATGACAGAAAGTATCTCTTAACAGATACAGCTCATCTAATTAAAGAGTATCACTATTTTGCAACCCTCAAAGAATTAATGGCTCTAGGCACTGAACATCAGTAGAAAAGAAGGCTTTTATATCTTATGTGCCTCCTAAAGAAAAAAAATACCACCATATATATAACACAGTCTTCAGTCCTGTCAAAGGTCTTAAATCCAACTCTTGATCAAGTCTTTGCATCCTACTTGCAAATATGGATGAAAAACACGTTGAACTGCATGCAGGAGAATACATACTGTAGGGTAACAAGAAGGTCAACAGATAAACTGTAAAGAAAAGGATGGACGGGGAACATGTAAATTAAGACATATCAAATAAATAGGGGAGCACCAAACTCTTAACACTTATGTTTAGTCATCAGTCGTGTCCAACTCTCTGCAACCCCACCAGCCTCCTCATCCGTGGGGAGTCTCCAGGCAAGAATACTGGAGATGTACTGCCATACTGCCATGCCCTCCTCCAGGGAATCTTCCCAACACAGGGATCAAACCTAGGTCTCCCGCATTGCGGGCAGATTCTTTACCATCTGAGCCACCAGGCAAGCCCTATATAACCTGATGTTAAAACTGTAAAGAGACAAAAGAAGTGATTATTATAAAAGTTAGGGTAACAGTTACTTTTAGGGAGTGGAGAAGGGACTGTGTTGGGCTGTGGTGTGGAAGGGGTTCTGGGAAAAGTGAAAAACTTCTAATTCCTTTTTTTTAAACTGTAATATAGTATTTTATTTAATCCTCTATATCGAAAACATTTATTTCATTAATATCAAATTATTAACAAAGTGTTCTACATCTCTTTTTTATACTTACAGTATATCTCGGTTTGGACTAAGGACATTTCTTTTCTTTTTCAGACTGATTTATTTTTGGTTGTGCTAGGTCTTCGGTGCTGCACATGGGCTTTCTCTAGTTGCTGCAAGCAGAGGTGTTTCACTGTGGCGGCTTCTCCTGTTGCAGAGCATGCGAACTAGAGCACAGGCCCAGGAGCTGTGGTGTATGGGCTTAAGTATTCCAAGGCATGCGAGATCTTCCCAAACCAAGGATGGAAACCACGGCCCCTGCACTGGCAGGAAGATTCTTTACCACTGAGCCACCAGGAAAGCCCTGAACTAATCGAAGCACATTTCAAATGTTCAGTAGCCACATGCGTTTCATGCCTATTGGACTGCTCAGAAGACTTCTAACTCTTGACCTGGGTATTACCAGGCTTCTGGCCTTAAAATAATTCACTAATATGCTTCTGTGGTTTTCTTTATCTGTGTGTCATTTTACCATTAAAATAATGGCTTTCTTTAAAAAAGTAAATGACTAATAGTCATCTGGATTATCTGGCTACCTCCAAATGGCACAAGGATCTAACCACCCATCTCCCTAGAACCAGAAGACTATATGAGATTACTTCAGGTCCAGAATTCAATGACCTCAGATCCCTAGAATTTCATATCACATGATCTTAAGGAATTGATGCTAGAGTATATACATGATAACTCTAACCTTGAAATAACTCTAATCTTAGCATGAAATGAATTCAGTCTTGAAAATTTCTACACATTGGAGTTTACGTTCATGTATTAAGATGATAAAGTGACCTTCCTGATAGCGGTTTTGTTAATTACAAGGTCTTGTTCCACCAGACCTATTCAATCAATAGCTTATCCTCCACAACACTTGGTAAAGATAGAACTGTTAAGAATGCTATTTTAAAGGAAAAATCTCTCCTTTTCCTTCCTATCTTGTACACAGATTTCTTCCCAAAGTTCAGAGTAGGCAGAGAACAATGACTCAAAATTGCCAATGAGTTCCCAACATGAGGTACAGTGAGCAGACAGAGAAAGATGCCCTTCACCTCAGATATAACCTCACTGACCTAAGTGAACACTTTCTAGAGTATCCAAATGACTCGTAATTCAAAAACTGCTAATACAGACTGAAAAAAGAAAAATACAGTTAAATGCCAATCCTGCAGAAATTAAGAGGGGAAGCTGGAGCAGGAACTGCCTGTGCTTCAAAGGCTCTCTGATAGAGAAAACCAAATTTGACAGGAGAGACCAAAGAAGGGAGAAAATTCCACTCTCCCACCACTCTTACACCAGCACTCCAGAAACCGGGAGGGAAAACAGGAGAGACCCATGTAGGTGCCAAGCTCTACCACGGCTGCAGAAGAGGGTGCTGAGGCTTACTCAATAATTAATCAGCACTTCTGAGCTGACAAGGGACAGATGCTACTATTACTACTTCCTTTCGCTTTCTGTATAGTACTTTTCTACTTAGACTTCACAGCTATATTTTGTCTATTAGTTACTTACACTTGCATAGTCCCTTCCTCTCACTCCGTAATATGCCAAAAGCTTCAGAATGAAACAGACCTTTCTTTTTCCCCCATCTATGTATCTTACATATGTCTAGTACAGCACCTGGAAAAATGTTTTACACATAGCATATACTCAGTATGTCTGTTGCATTAAACTTTTAAAAATATCAAGGGCAGTCAGGTGAAAGAAAAGAAAATTTGGTCAATATTATTTCAGAAAGCAAGAGTCAAGAAAAACTAGAAGGAAAGTATGAGGAGGCATGTTAGGCCAACATGAACACAAAATTTCTTTAGCCCTGGTTGCCTTAAGAAGCAATCACGTCCCTTAGCCATATTTTTGAAGACTTGCATTAAAGGTAGAAGGGAATTCTGAGAGCTACTTCAAACTCTTTCAAGATTTTGTGTTTCTGAATAAGGCTGTCCCCAGAGACTCAGACTAAAACACAAATGAAGAAGATAAGGAGAAACAAATCTATCCCAGAATCTACAACAGAACAGGCATTCCCCACCTTACTGGAAACCTGTAACTGGATAATACAAAAATCACTATCCTACTTCATCAGAGAATCAAGTAACAGAACAAACCTTTGTATACTAGACATTACATATGCTATTTTCATTTCATCTTTGATATTATCATCTTCATTGTATAAAAGGACACTGACAGTGAGAAAATAAGCAATGAATGGGTTCCGAACTTTGACTCAAACCATGTTCTTTCTACTGAACGCTTCAGCTTCTAAGACAAATGAGCATTGGTAAAATACAGCATTGCTTCCCTTGTGTATTGGCATTACTAGATTTTAACTTCCAAACCATAAATTTATCCGTGTATGTCTTACCACTTATTTCAAGCTCCACCCAATGAGATTTCTTTCCATTTGCTGCTTCCTCAGAGGACATAATTGTGTATATCCTCCGAGGGTCAGGGGGCTCGTATTTTTCTTTGGGCATGCCTGTTGAAACAAGAAAAGAAATCAATCAATATATGAAAGAGTCAAACAGCTGAAAATAACATCTTGTAAAAAAGCAGACATCCATATTATGATCTCTAAACACAAATTCCCACTAAAACGAACTAGGAACTCCTTAGAGAAATGGAAGATTTCAAGAATGGGATTGGAAAAATATAAACAAGCTTGGACACTAAGAAAGATACTCTAGCTGTAAAGGGCATAGGAGTTAGCTTGAAGAGGTCCCACTGGCCAAGATAAGACAATCTGAACAACAAAAGAAAGACTACGAATCAATTTTAAACTGTATGAATCCAAAACTCGGATTAAAAAAAAAAAAAAACCTGTCACCTGAAGTTGGAAAATAAAGAGAAAGAATCGAGCATTTATCCAGCACTTCTAGCAGAAACTGGCTGAGGAAATGTTCTTAACAGAATTCTAGCTAATAAATGCAGAAAGTTACCTAATTAGAAAAACCACTATTTCACAACCTCTAATGAAAAAAAAGTTTCACCATTAATGGCTAATAAAGGAATCAGGTAAAAAATATCCAATGGAAAAAATTTAAATAGATCACGCTGTAAGACCTCAACCCAAGGATCAATCTCGGTATAAGAACAACTAGACTTATATCTCAATACTATGTATACTCTTGCCCCTTCATCCAAAAAAAATTCAAAGTAAAGACTGAACTTGAATCAAATAAGCCTCTCTAGATCTGGAACCAGTTTACACGAAGTAAGGGAGACAGAGGAATATGGTAAAAGTAACATAAGACACAACAATGTGAATATACTTAACACTACTGAACTGCACACTTAAGATGATTATTAAGATAGTATACTTTACTATGTATATTTTACTATGAGTAAAAAAATTTTTTAACTCTAAAATAATGCCACAAGAATACAGCCAGCCAGATGCAGACAACAGAAAGTTCTACATGACAGAAGGCTCAATTTCCTCAACAAATAAATGACATGAAAAGGAAACTGATACTAAATGACTTGTGAGGCACAGCAATCAGATGCAATATATAGACCTCATCTGGGTCTAATGTGACCAAATTAAGTGTAAAAAACATTTCTGAGAATCAGACAAATTGGAAGAATTATATCTAAGCTGATACTGGGACTACTATTCATTTTGCTTGTGGTTATTTTAAAACTCATATTAAAAAGTAGAGACATTACTTTGCCGACAAGGATCCGTCTAATCAAAGCTATGGTCTTTCCAGTAGTCACATATGGATGTGACAGTTGGACCATAAAGAAAGCTGAGCGCTGAAAAATTGATGCTTTTGAACTGTGATGTTGGAGAAGACTCTTGAGAGTCCCCTGGAGATCAAACCAGTCAATACTAAAGGAAATCAGTCCTGAATATTCATTGGAAGGACTGATGCTGAGGCTGAAGCTCCAATACTTTGGTCACCTGATGCAAAGAACTAACTCATTGGAAAAGACCCTGATGCTGGAAAAGATTGAAGGCAGGTGGAGAAGGGGATGACAGAGGATGAGATGGTTGGATGGCCGACTCGATGGACAAGAGTTTGAGCAAGCTCCAGGAGATAATGATAGACGGGAAAGCCTGGCGTGCTGCAGTCCATGGGGTAGCTAAGAGTTGGACACAACTGAGCAACTGAATTGAACACCTACTCTGGATACCTACATAGCTGAACAAAGCTGGAGAAAAACCCACTATCATATGAAGTTAAAGTGAGCCAGTCAGCAATCACTCACCTCAAATGGAGTTACTGCTGAATGGGTTTGAGGTTTTAGTTTTACAAAGAGTTACAAAGATGGATGATGGTGATGGCTGCACAACATCATCAATGTATCTAATAACACTGGATGCTACACTTAAAAAATGGTTGACACGGTAAACTTTATGTTATGCATATTTTACACAATAAAAAAATTGGAAAAGAGCTAAAGCTACTTTCATTATGTTATGCTGCTTCTATACTGATGAGAACTAGAGCTATTTCAAACACAAAAATGGTTTTGACTATGTAGTCAAAACACAGGAAGAGGTAAGTAATCCCTTTTTGAAGAAGGTAAGTAAACAGTGAGACTAACCACCTGCATAAGAAATAGAATATCTATTTTTTGTTTTGTTAAATATTGTTAATAAAACTGTCCTCCTACATGTTTATTTCTCCAGAATAGAAACACAATGACTGAAGTTTTTAGACTAACACAAAACATACCTAACAAAGAGCTATACTGCCAAGAACTGTTCCTGTCCCATCTAGGGGACAAGCTGGCAAGGCAAGTGCCCACTGTGAATCGTATGAATATACCAGTAATAACAAAATACGGTGTAAAGTGACCAGAGCTTAATGATGACATCCCTTAAGATCACTCAAATGCCACTATTCTGACTAGACTTTACTTACAAAGCAACCATCTGATCTTCACTGGCTGCTCCAAATAGAATTTAACGATAAGCTGCTCTGTTCAGCTATGGTTGGTATTTTGGTCCTATAAGCTATTTTTTAAACTAATATACTTTAATTGGAGGATAATTATTTTACAACATTGTGATGGTTTCTGCCATACAGCAACATGAATCAGCCATGGGTACATGTGTCCCCCATTCTGAACCCTGCTCCCCCCTCCCTCCCCACCCCATCCCTCTGGGCTGTCCCAGAGCACTGGCTTTGAGCGCCCTGCTTCATGCACTGAACCTGCACTGGTCAGCTATGTTACACATGGTAATACACATGTTTCAGTGCTATTCTCTCAGCTCATCCCACCCTCGCCTTCCCCCCCAGAGTCCAAAGCTGTCCTTCACATCTGTCTCCTTTGCTGCCTTGCATGCAGGATCATCATTACCGTCTTTCTAAATTCCACATGTACGTGTTAATACACAGAATTGGTGTTTCTCTTTCTGACTTACTTCACTCCATACAATAGGCTCATTTCACCCACCTCATTAGAACTGACTCAAATGCGTCCCTTTTTATACCTGAGCAATATTCCATTGTGTATACATACCACATCTTCCTTATTCATTCATCAATGGACATCAAGGTTGCTTCCATGTCCTAACTATTGTTAAGAGCACTGCAATGAACACTGGGGTACATGTGTCTCTTTTAATTCTGGTTTCCTCAGTGTGTATGCCCAGCAGTGAGACTGTTGGTTCGTATGACAGTTCTATTCTCAGTTTTTTAAGGAATCTCCACACTGTTCTCCACAGTGGCTGTACCAGTTTGCATTCCCACCAACAGTGTAAGAGGGTTCCCTTTGAGTCATTAATCATTTGACTTCTTAGTGAAAGTTCAGAAGTCTGATTTACCAATCTCATGTGAGCTTAGTTAGTGTGAATCAATGTGAGCTTAGTTAGTGTGAATCAATGTCCAGAGTTCAATCATGCTTCAGAGAATAAATAAAAGCATTACTGAACTGAAATCTGAAATCCAGATCCTAGACCTGGGGTCATTCCATCAAGAGTCATGATTTCTGCCTAGGCAGCCAGCCACTCCCTTTCTGAGTTTTCAAGACATGTGATGCGCTGTCTTAAAATTTAAGAGACAGCACATTACCCTAAACTTGAAAGAGGCAAAATCTTTATTTTCCAAATCCCCAAGACTGAGAAAGTCGAAGTGGGGGAAAAAGAACATGACAGAATAAAAGAAATGGTAGCAAACTGGACAATCAAGCCCTTTTGAGAAGCATATCTGCCCACTAAGCAACTCCACCCATTTTTCTTGGAGTCCAACAGAACATAGTATTGGAAACTAGGTAGTGAAAAGGACACAAGAACACAAACAATCCAGGATTTTTCCCCAGGCTTTGAAATCAACAAGCAGATCTTGCTCTCTAAAAAATACAGTATGTTGCTGCAGATTACTATCTAAAAAGAGTAAAAGGTTTCCAAAATTGACTGGAAAACTGCCAAGGAAAATTACAAGACTTTTAAAAAATAGCTAGGCCAGAGTCAGCATGTATGTAACCCAAGACTAGTCAATCTTCAACGCCCCCAATCCAATGCCAAACATCATTGTTGGTCTTGGCAGCATAAAATCTGTCCCTGATCGAGACCGCAGAGAAATGGTTTTGCACTATCTTAGAACAGAATAATTATTTATCTTAAGGAAATACAGGACATTATTTACCAGACAGAAAGATATGCTTGCATTATTAAAGATTTTATGAAATGGCTTAAAAGTACACAGGAGAAACGGTAAGAGAGAAGCGGAGGGAGGAGGAGAGAGGAAGGGTGGGGGACCCTACCTGCAAGTCAACCACCATTTGAGGCAGCTGTTAAACTAAGAAATATGTACAAAAGAAAAAGATTTAAGTGTCTATCCTTTCAATGGGTACTCTATTTCAGTCACCAAATGGCCCAGGTGAAAAAAAGTCCTATTTTACAAAAGAAAAACAACTAATAAATGAAGTATGAAAGAATAAAAACAACATCATTTCATAATTCCCAATGAGCCTTTCTAAAACAAAGACTTATAAACTGGGTTAAAATCTTGAGATGAATCACTCGCACTGGCATAATGCTAAGTAACACCACCACCCAGGTTGTTTTTTGATTATAAGGTAGAAAATGTTCAAGACAGGAATAAACTATTACCTCTTCATCAATCTTCTCAACACCAATAAGGGGCAGAACCAGATACTGTGGGTCTTTTGATCTGACAGAATATGAAATACACACCAATAATGTTTACCTTTTTAAGAATTAGAGGAACTGGCTGTGCTGTGCTGTGCTTAGTCATGTCCGACTCTTTGCAACCCCATGAACTGTACCCCGCCAGGCACCTCTGTCCATGGGGATTTCCAGGCAAAAATACTGGAGTGGGTTGCCATTTCCTCCTCCAAGGGGTCACAACCCAAGGATCGAACCCAGGTCTCCTGCAATGCAGGCGGTTCTTTACCGTCTCAGTCCCCAGGGAAGCCCAAGAACACTGGAGTGGGTAGCCTATCCCTTGTCCAGGGGACCTTCTGACCCAGGAATCAAACTGGGGTCTCCTGCATTGCAAGCAG